TTTACTTGAATCTAAAAAGGCACATGTGGTATAAAGAAACCCCCTATTTTACCACCAAGAGACTGAGAGTCCCTTCCTCTGCTGACGTCACAGATACAACAAAGCAATGTGGGCAAAAGTCCACCTGTCAGTTTAAACCAAGCGTTTTAATCACAGCTGAGTCTGCATCATGGCTTCAGTTTGGACAACAGGTGCAGAAAGCCGAAGCAGACCAGAAAGACTCCAGCTTATTCATGACAAAGGCATTACAATTATATGTTACAAATAAAAACACTCATAGTCATGTGCACAGAGTTTTTTTTTTTTTACAACATCAAATAAATACTGACAGTTATATTTAATTATAATTAAATTTTCTACATTTTTTGGCCACGTCTTTTACCGTCCTCAATAAAAGCATGTGTTAACAAAACTTGATGATTGATGATTGACGGCTGAATTAGGCAATCACGTTCGCAGGACACAAGGGAGCGCATGGAGCTCTCAGTTCAAGAAAGAGCGAGTATGTGAGAACAGGAGGTGCAAACTGAGCCGCTCAACAGCTGTAAGAGAATCTGATTCAGTGTAACTCGACTCCAAACTACAGCTGGACATTTCCCAGCCACTCACTTCCCATGTTTCAAGGCCTTTCCATCTCTTCTGCTTTCTGAAAACTGTGAAGGGAAACTCGTTTGTCTCAAAGCTACAATGTGACTAACATGTCTGGTTATCAGTAAATAAACTATATTTGAAAAAACTGTTTGGGAGTCGATGGTAGCCTATAAAAACCTATGGCAGATGTTTTTTGGCATGGTAAATGAATTTAGCACACTAAATAGAGAGGGTCTGTATATTTCCGGTTGCAGTTTTAGAGTCAGACACTTATATCTTTTGAAACATTGGTCTAGAAATCAGATGAATTTCTTCTAATTTCTTCAAGCTTCATAAAAAATCACCAAGGGAATTTTGATGGCAGTTTCACATAAAACTCCATCAGACGTCAGGACAGCATTACTGGAGTATGTTTTACAAAAATACTACTTCAATCATTCTACCTCAAATTTTCATTTATTTCAATGTTATCCGCCATTTCTTTGTAAGTATGTTTATACAATTTACTAGCAATTTCTGAGTCAAAACTGTTCAATATAAATCCTACAATAGTTTTTTTTTTTTGTATGTCTCAATGGGACCATGACCTAATGGTCCTCGAGATCTTTTGGGACTATGGCATCTAGTGGTCAAAAATGTTTCAATCTGCTTGAATATTTTGCCATTCTCTCATTATATTGATATTCTAAACTCAATTGCCTAAATGTAAGATTTAACGAAGCCGGTCACGTTAGGCTTGAGAAACTACATATTGAGTTTTCACTGACTCTCTCAAGCCTGCATTGCTGAGTGTTGTCTGTCTGTACGTCTGTGTGAATCTTCACAGTATCTCCTTGCTTAGAGTAAGCAGTCAAGGAACATTCTGATATCATTTCAGGCTAGAGATGAAGGCCGTGTCTGTTTCTATAGAGACTCATAAACAGTTTGAGCTTTGAGTAAGCGTGCACAGACAGCACCTGACCCGTGCAGGAAAAAAAGGGAGTTTTCTGCCTGCTGGTTCTGTCTAAACTCTTACTTCCTCCCATGAACATAACATAAGTATTTCTCTTCTCAAAATCAGAAAACCCTGGAATTCACAAACCTCTGTGTGGGAACTTTCACTTTCACATCAGGACCTTTCAGTTCTTGAAGCAATAGTTCACCCAAAAATGAAAATGTTGTCATTGTTTATTCACCCGTGTCGTTTCAAACCTGTATGACCTTCATCTTTGTAAACTGAAAAGTACAGTTGAACAGAAGCTAAATGTGCATGCTTGATGCAAAAACAAACCTCACTGTCCTTGCACGTCTCACGATCATGTTTGAGTGTTTGCCCTTACCATATTTGATGTGCCCTATGTATGCGTGTTCATCAGTCAGGATCAAATTAAGTGAGCATGTCTGTTCAGAATAAATATCTTCAGCTGTGTTTTAAAGATGAACAGAGGTTTTATGGGTTTGGAAGGACATGAGGGTGAATCTATTATGACAAATGTTTGGGTGAACTAACCCTTCAACTATGTTGTATGGAAAATGTCAACATGTATAACCTGTGAAGCATCTCATGGAAGACAGAAAGTCATACGGGTTTACACAACACAATCTCATGGCAGTTTGTTACTATTTTACATTTTGGATTTGGTGGTTAATTTGTATGAATTAGTTCAATCTCTTTTTGATTTAATCTTAGTGACCGGGTGAACCTTCCTGCTTTTTTTTCTAAACATTGCATTTTGTCCAATTCACATCGTGCAAACTCATAACCTCATAAAAGAGTTATGTTTTCCTGTGAGATCGGGCTGGGTTTCATAATGACATGAAAGTGTAAAAATATGACAAAATGTTAATTTTGGAATGACTGCATACAGGTTTGGAAAGTCGCTGTTCATGGTCATTGGTTATATCTCATGGGAAATAATGGAGATCACTATGATCATGTGAAGTTTCAGATCCCCTTTTTATAGCTGAGGTGTACACTAACGGTCAAAAGTTTGGAATATTTATAACTTTTTAATGTTTTTGAAAGAAGCCTTTATGCTTGCCAAGATTATATTTATTTGATCAAACCGCAATTTATTCTTATAATGCAATTTTCAGCATCATTGCTCCAGTCTTCAGTGTCACATGATCTTCAGAAATCATTCTGATATGCTGATTTTGCTCAAGAAGCATTTCTGATTATTATCAATGTAAATAAAAATCAATGCTTTTATTCAGCAGGAGCACATTAAATTGATCAAAACTCACATTAAAGACATTTATAATGTTACAAAAGATTTCTATTGTAAATAAATGCTGTTCTTTGAACTTTTAATTCATCAAAGAATCCTGAAAAAAAATGTATCATGATTTCCACACAAATATTAAGCAGCAAAAACTGCTTTTGACGTTGGTATTAATAGGAATGATTATTAATAATTAAGTACCAATGATAATTGACTATGACTGAGCACCAGTTAAGAATATTAGAATGATTTCTGAAGATCATGTGACACTGAAGACTGGAGCAATGATGCTGAAAATACAGCTTTGATCACAGAAATAAATTATATTTTACAATATATTTAAATATAAAATATTTCTTTTAAATTGTAATAATATTTCACAATATTACTATTTTTTTTTACTGCATTTTAACCAAATAAATACAGCCTTTGTGAGCATTATAAGAGATCCTTAACAAAACAACTGAAAATTATTCTAAACTTTTGACACGTACTGTATATGAATCAAAAGATCTACAGCGCTCTTAATTCAAATAACAGAGATTCTCATAATAATACATATAATCATGGGCTCTCTATGAGACATGGGCATGTAAGACATGTGCACTGTGGGAGAGAAGAGGCTGATCACATGCGTTTGTAGAAGCCGGCCTGGGTCTGCCGTGAAAAGACCAAAGAAAATTTCCCTAATCCAACCAAGGAAGAGGAGCGCGAGGATCAGGCCCGGTCAGAAGGTTATTCTGAACACATTCAGCAGGCATTAGCTGGGGATTACGACTCGACACGCTCCGCTGCTCTCCTCGCCCATCCGGCTGTCATCTCTGATCGGCCTGCGCAGCCAGAAAACCTGACTGTTGTGGATCTTCACAGAGAGACAGACCTGAAGCTGACCTCGTGGGGTCTGAGGAAACACCTGCCAACATACTGGACAGGTGAGAGATCTGCTGTCCCGTGACCAGTGATTGCTCATCTGTCCTTCTGGCTTACAAGTTCATATCTTTATAGACACAGTGACTTCTGAACCCCTCGGTCACTGAGACATCTGTTGCAGTATCTAAATATACAGGAAATAAAAGTATAGTCCTACCCGTGGCCACAGCTGTCATGACAGACTCTCACATGTCTGATCACACAGAACGAAAACCAGCTACTGCCCTACTCTCAAACAAAGACATGCAGAGGCCAGAGACTAACCAACCAAGCCTGGAGCCCTCAAGCAAAGACCCGCACGAAACGTTTCTCCTACAATTCAAAACACAAGAGAGATCCAGCATTCCACACCGTCGTGTTATGTTTGGAGACTTTGCATGTGAAAAGCTAAGAAGGAAACGCTCAAGCAGGCTCACTGGTGAATTACAGTGCTGTGTGTGCGTGTTTATAGTGAGAGATGTCGCTTTCTGGAACACATATGAAAGAGTGCATATCCACTCCTAAAAAAGTCTGTATATTTCAGAGTTTAAATTAGATCTGAAATGCCAAATTTTCAATGCAGACTCCACTGTATGGAGATATAAGTTATCTTGTGCTTTTAAAGACTTTCATATTTGGGTGAAATTTGGAAATATTGAATTAGCAAGCGTAACAGATGATTACAGAGGATTATTTTCTATGAGCATCCAAAAGGCCAAATATTTTGTCCAGGAGAAGTTATAGGCTAACAGGGAATATTCTCAAAACTTTGGGAAAAGTTGTAAACAAAAGTTCGTCTAGTAACATCAACAGAATGTTTGTCTCTAACAATGTTCTTTAAATGTTATTTACACATCGTTCGTGGACTGTTTTTCCTGAAACGTTTTAGTTGGACGTTCCTTTAACGTATTTAAATGTTACAACTTACTACTTGTTTCAGAACGTTCAGAGAACATTCAAATGTAACGTTCCCACAATGTTTGCAAAAAAACTAAAATGGAATGCTGCCTTAATGTTTTCTCTGACGTTCGCAATAACCAAGGAAAGGGGTTTTAAACATTTAAAAAACTGGACGTTTTGAACTTTTAGAAATACTGTTTTCATAACATTATGGTAACGTTAGCGAAAAGTTCTCAGAACATATTTTTGTTAGCTGGGTGCTTGTCAGTCAGGAGATTGATACATATTTTATTGGCCAATAAAAGTTAGTATCACCCAGTTTTGACATTTGTTATTATTACTAAATAAATATAGACCTAGATAAGCGCTTTATTTCATAATGGAAATAGTCCTTACCCTGATCCGTCATCACCTCCGAGACTCGTTTGCATTGCATCTGCTGATATCCAGAGAGCCGCTCGCTCTCACCATTGATCACCGATCAGTCCGACTGATTGAGACAGTTCATATTCAGTTACACGCGTCTTTCGCATTGCAAACAAACACGTAAAAGTGTGAACTTTAACAGCTTCGTACTAGCCGAGCATTTAGACATTGATATGAAAAAAGCTAGTGGTTGTTGTGACACGCAGTCACACACACACACACACACACACATACACACACACACACTCCTCCTCTCAGTCGGATGGGAGAGGTTTACTGATGACAGATCACCCGGGCGTCAATGCTCTTGTACGGAATATACACAAAGTTAAATAAATTAATAAAAGACTCAAAATAACGTGCTTTTTTTTTTAAAGTTAAAGTTACTGCATCCATTAAACACTAGATTTGGTTATATATGTTTCATATCAATCCAGTTTATCCAGATCTATTGCTTTTAGTGTAACATTTTCATAAAAAATGTAAATCATTTGAAGAGATCGGGTTTTAATGTAATAAATACATATTTTCACAACCATGCAGTGACCTTGTTACACCGTTGCGCCCCCTTGCGACGTTTGAGGCACTTCACTCCTCTGATCAATCGGCAAAAAAAAAAAAAGTTGACAAATAACATAAACATTATTGTTGAGAGAAAGAGGGGTAAAAGATCAAATATGACTCCAGTTTTGCCGCTGTAGCCTATATATATATTTCAGAATAATAAGCCACTGTGAATTCTGTGAATTATACATTTCATTGTGGTTTCCTTCATGAAAATATGAACCGGCATATTACCAGAATTTTAGTTAGTTTTTTAAAAACTTTTTTATATCTAAAAAAAAAAAAACAATAAGCAAATTATGTATAAATAAACCGAGGCCATTTAGGGATAGTTTGTGGCTTTGATTTAGGAGTCCTCTTCACTACTCCTAACGTTTCACAGATTTAGCTAGTTTTAGTGTTAAAACACTTTATGAAATACTCTTAGAGCAAAAATTTAGGAGTCCTAAATTTAGGATTGACACGTCCATTATTTTTAAGATTTTCTCCTAAATCGGCAATTTATGAGCTACTTTTAGCCTTAAGATGTTTTGTGAATACGGGCCCAAATGTTCTGAGCGTGACATTTGAGATCGAGACTATTTGGAAGCCGCTTCCTCCTCGGAATTAAAAAAAAAAAAGGTAATTGCGACTTTTTATCTCACAATTCTGCCAGTATTTCTCGCGGCTCCCGGTGTATGTCTGCGGGTTCGGCTGTGCTGTGGAGGGCAGCCTGGCGGACTGTGCTCGAGGTGGCGCTGCGCAGCAGGAGAAGAACACGCGTGCGCAGCGTTCACTTCCGTGCAGGGGTCTGTGTGACTGAGGAGCTGAGCTTGGGTTATAAATGCCTCTGAAGAGAGCAGTGATCGTGCCGGGAAACGGCGCAGGCAACATTGAGCACTGTAACTGGTATGGATGGGCAAAGCAACGAATAAACCAGGTATGATGAGTTCAACGAGAGAACGAAATCATGCACAGACATCATTCAGCTGTCATAATGACAGAGGGTGCATTTCACCTTACTCAACCCTGCCAAGTCAAACAGTAGTCTGAAAATAATTTCCTTGAAATGGAAATTTAAAAAAACTCAGAGGCCGAAACTGAGGGAAAATGTGCAATATGGTGCATTTGCTGGTATTTATGAGATGAGAATTCTGACAGCTTGCGACGTTAATCAACGAGATCTTAATAACAGCATATAATGCACTGCAGCACAATGATGAACAAATAAACCTAAAGTAAATCTGTTGCTTCAGTCCAGTGAGTGTTCATAACAAAATAAAAGTTATTCTTACATTTACTTCATAAAAATCAGTTATGTTTCACAGCAAAAAGACACATGAACCATGACCTGAAGGTGGTCTATCAGCAAAGTTTTGATCACGTTGATAACTTAGAGGCTTTAGACATTTGCATATGGAATATGATACAGTAGAGTTTATAGGGCTACAGTGGTTGAATATTATGTGATTATTTCTCAAATCATTTTGTGCAGATTCCAGATGTGTCTTGTACGCTGAAGAACATGCCGGATCCTGGTAGTACAAATTCACATAACTGTATTACAGGAGATCTGAATCATATGTCTGGTATAATATATTGTATTTGAGTTGACAGTGACTGCCAGAGAGAGCATCTGGCTGCCGTTCATGGAGAAGCAGCTGAAGTGTGATGAAGAAACGGTCATCATCGGACACAGCTCAGGAGCCGCTGCAGCCATGAGGTACTGACTGACTCTTCACATGCATATTTGAGTAGGTTTGCTTTTATGCTTATTATATTATTTATTAATAAGCACTTACTTAATCTATGTATTTATATATGTACGCTTCTTAAATGATCATCCAATTCAATCCCTGCCATCAGTTTTATAAAAGAAGTTTGAAACTATAATATTCAGACAAATACTTCTCGCACCAAACAACTGTTTACTAATCTGACTAAATGCATGCTTTTAGTGACGAGGAACATTTCTAAACTATTTGTTTTAAACTGATTGCTTGCGTTCAGGTATGCAGAAACACACAGGGTTTTTGCGGTTGTTCTGGTAGGTGCGTACACATCAGACCTGGGAGATGAGAATGAACGCGAGAGCGGTGAGTTTGAGTAAAAACCACTCATAACATCAGTTGCCAGCAGTGTGCTGTGCTGTGTGGTAATGTGCCGTCTCTCATTACGCTCAGGATATTTCAGCCGGCCATGGGAATGGGAGAAGATGAGAACAAACGTGAAGTACATAATTCAGTTCGGATCTACAGACGACCCCTTCCTGCCCTGGGAAGAGCAACAGGAAGTGGCTGATGGACTGAAGACAGATCTACAGAAATACTCGGACCGCGGGCATTTCCAGAACACAGCCTTTCCAGAGCTCATCGATGTAATAAAACGCCTCAAAACCAACAGCTAAAAGCAAAAACTCATCCTGTGTGCGTTTAGAAATACATTCATTTTTATTTTTTAGGGGCCAAATGAATCATGTATGTTTGAAGAAGTGATGGCAGTGTATTATTGTGGCAGATGTTGAAACATTTTCATTTATTTTCAATACAAGTATATCATGTAAATCTTCAAATACTCAAGCTTTCTTTACAGTAGTACATAGAAATCCACACGTCTGAAATAAAATGCCCGTGTAAACTGAGACGAAGCGAACATAGTGATTAATACAAAATCAAAGACGTAGAAGTAATGGCACTTACAGCATCCAAACACTGATCTCAGTTCAAGTTCTTACAGTTATAATAAAGTCCACATGTGAGGGTTTTCTTGCTGCTTATGTAGAGATAAAATCCTGTATTTAAACAGGGAAGGTTCAAATGTAAATCCTGGTACTAATCAGTTATAGCACCATATTAAGGGTCAACATAATTCAGTTGATTGAAATATATACACATTCTATTATTTGGTTGAGGATCTGTATATCTAATTAATTAAATTGATCAAATTCATTCATTCTTTTAATAGTGGACTGAAATAAAGCATTCATTTTTACTCAATCCAGTAACACTGACTTCATGTAAACAACTATAATCTAAAGTCTAACACAAACAATGAGCTGTCAATTACGCATCCACATGTTTTTCTAAACACATTACATTGTGTCACATTCAAGGAAGTGTAGCGGAACGTTCACGCTGTTCTTTACAGCAACAGTTCCATTCTGTCTGTCTGTCTATATTCACTTCCATCTGTTTTTATCTTTTATTTTTGGAACAACATGAGTGTAAATGACCATTTTAAATTTTAGGTGAAAAAACAACAACAGCAACAAATGTCAGCCTGTTCTCATAAAACTGCGGTCATAAGAATCATATACTGCTTATTCTATAAACCTGAGATTGGAAGTAAAGTGCACTTAGCAAAGCCAAACCATCATGTAAACCTGCTTACTCTGCAACAAGTTATTTTCAGAGGAAAACAGCTATATCTTTTCAGATAAAAGCAATCTCACATTCATCAGTAATGGCCAATCAGAAACATGTATTCAAGCAGTGAGTGTGATGGGAAAGAGCACAGTCCTAACCCAACTGAGCAGCGGGGCATGTCATGCTTTAGAAACTACACAGTCTTCTTTTTCCTCCTTGCTTTGGTGTATCCCCTTCCAAACCAGCCGCCTTGAACCGCTGTAGCTTCACCCTGAGCCTGTGTGTCTGGCGAAGCGTCCTCCAGAGCAGCAGGTGGCGCTATCTCTTCACGAGTGTGGCTCTTCTGCTCCTGTGGACTGAGTGGTTTAGCCAAGCTGAAGATGGGGTCTTGTGATCTGTTATTCATAAAAATCCCAGGCAATATTAATAAAACCGACAGCTGCTTTGGATGAAAATATGAGACTTCACACAGCAATCAGGCTTGAGGCCATGTTATACGAGTCCCGGAAAACAAGCATTTTAGCCAAAAAACACTAAACAAAACCAAGCATATTAACACGTCTGGTTGTTATTGTTCTAAACTCAAATTATTTTGAATGGGTTTTTGGTTAAATCCCTGAAATAAGGTCAGCGGTGAACACAAGCTCAAGATATATTTTCACGTTTTATTCTATGATTTTAAATACTCCAGTTAATTTTTACTTAAGATTTTTAGTGAAGTCTTGAAAAAGGCGATTTGTAACAAGTGTCTAAACGGGACTACAGAACTCGTCGCGGACATTAAACATCATCACTTCCTCAAACTCATCTACTCGGTTGTCTCCTTCACAGCCTCACGGTGTTTATAATTGCATTCTTGTAAACTATTCTAACTATGACTAATCGGTCATCACAACACTCAGTAGCTGTGACATCCCTCAGTTTGACATGAGAGACCGTCTTTAGCCGTGACAATATTCACAATGCTCTCTTATCTTTCTGCTTAAAGGTGCGGTCACAGTGAAATCCAGTCATTATAATAGGAATCCGTGTGATCAGGAATTTTGTATGAGGGTAAAAGATTTCCCCACAAAAATTGCATAGCGGGTTCACATTTGTCATGTGACTTTGCTGTGTTGACCCACAGAAAGCTGCATGGTTTGAAAGTGAATTCTGTCTGAGCTATGCCTCATATCTACACTATTGGCAATGAGACGGTTTGCCCGCTAATGTTACAGCACCTTAACAGTATATTAGACATGTATTCCACTTCAGGTGGGTCTTGCCTGTTGTAAACTGGAGTTCCCAAACCCAGCTCCTCCATCAGAAGACCCATCATAGCATCACACTTCCCATGAATTTTCAGAGTGGCCAAGGTATCTTTCGGTGTCCACTAAAATAAATAAGGAAAACACAGCAGGCTTTTAGATAAAATAAACTGAAAGTCACGTTAAATTTTATGGAAAACAAAAGGATCAAGAGATTTGATGTTTTATGAAATATTACCTGTAGATTTACAATGTACAGCTTTGGTCTTTTGTTGGCGGGTCTGTTCATGCACCACAAGCACGAGTATTTCTTCAACACCTGATGGACAAACACACTATACATGACATCAGCTGCATTACTGAAAATACAACATTTTATTTAGTACAAAACAATGTCATTTTGGCAAATTTTGCAATACGTGAATTGCTAAGGACTTCATTTGGATAACTTTAAAGGCGATTTTCTCAATATTTGGATTTTTTTGCACCCTCAGATTCCAGATTTAAAAATAGTTGTATCTCGCCCAAATATTGTCCTATCCTAACAAACCATACATCAATGGAAATCATATTTATTCAAATTTCAGATGATGTATACATCTCAATTTAAAAAAATTGACACTTAAGACTGGTTTTGTGGTCCAGGGTCACATATGTTAAACTTTTAACATCTCATATTGCTGCTGCTTTCATTAAAGCTTAAATAACACAAGGAGCAATATGAGCAATGCCTCTAAACTAGGGATGTCATGAGAACGATACTTCAGTATCAAGTCAGTATCAACATTTTAAAATCCTGACGGTACTTGTTTTTCTACAGTAGCGTAAGCACTGATGGTACCGAACATTTATGCACTATAGCATGTAGGTTTGACCCAAAACAGATTATCAGAGCAAACAATTCAAATAAATTCAAGCGATTTTAAACCATAAAGTATTTGCGAATTTAATTATTCAATTTCTGTGGTATTACTTGAATGCTACTGTTAGATCTACCCGAAAAAATATGCAGCATTTATTTTGTATCTTTATTCTATTGTATTTATTTATGCGACTGCTTCTAAGTGTGTTTATTCATTCTTGTTTTATTACTGACTATTGCAACAAATTACCTCATAGAAAAAAAATAAATTGATTGAGCAAACATTTTGGTGAGATAACTATAATTAATAAGTTTAATAAGGTTTTTTTTTTCTACCGTGGTATCGAGTATAGTGTACTTTTGGTGGTATCATTCAGTACCGACTACTAGGTTTTTAGTATCGTGTTAGTATTTTATCCATGTGTGGTACCAGCAGCCTAAGACTCAAGCCACGCCCCTCTAGATTACATCAGTTCACATTTACATTTAGTCATTTAGCAGACGCTTTTATCTAAAGTGACTTACAAATGAGGACAACAGAAGCAATCAAACCAACAAAAGAGCAACAATATGTCCTGGTTAGTCTAATGCAGTACACGCAGCAAGGTTTTTTATTTATTCATTTTTTTTTTTTATATATAATAATAATTAGACCGAAAATAAATAGAATAGAAAGTGCTAGAGTTAGAGGTTCAAATAAAGGTGGAACAGATGTGTTTTTAGTCGTTTCTTGAAGATTGTTAAGGACTCAGCTGCTCGGATTGATTTGGGCAGGTCATTCCACCAGGAGGGAACAGTTAATGAAAAAGTCTGTGAAAGTTATTTTGTGCCTCTTTGAGATGGCACAATAATACGCCGTTCACTTGCAGAACGCAAGCTTCTAGAGGGCACATAACTCTGAAGTAATGAATTTAGGTAAATGGGTGCAGAGCCAGTGGTGTTTTTTTTAGGCAAACAAAGAATTTTACATGAGCAGCTACTGGTAGCCAGTGCAAACTGATGAACAGAGGTGTGACCATAGACTGTAAAAAAAGATGGACAACGCATCTCCTATTCCTTCCACTATAGAAAAGTAAAGCCAAAGTATCTCAGTATGGCCTCTGCCATCTGGAGTAAATGACGTAATCTGGAGCCCGAGTCTGCGCAGTAGAGATCCGTTTGGAGCCCGAGTCTGCGCAGTAGTGATTCGTTTGGAGCCCGAGTCTGCGCAGTAGAGATTCGTTTGGAGCCCGAGTCTGCGCAGTAGAGATTCGTTTGGAGCCCGAGTCTGCGCAGTAGAGATTCGTTTGGAGCCCGAGTCTGCGCAGTAGAGATTCGTTTGGAGCCCGAGTCTGCGCAGTAGAGATTCGTTTGGAGCCCGAGTCTGCGCAGTAGAGATTCGTTTGGAGCCCGAGTCTGCGCAGTAGAGATTCGTTTGGAGCCCGAGTCTGCGCAGTAGAGATTCGTTTGGAGCCCGAGTCTGCGCAGTAGAGATTCGTTTGGAGCCCGAGTCTGCGCAGTAGAGATTCGTTTGGAGCCCGAGTCTGCGCAGTAGAGATTCGTTTGGAGCCCGAGTCTGCGCAGTAGAGATTCGTTTGGAGCCCGAGTCTGCGCAGTAGAGATTCGTTTGGAGCCCGAGTCTGCGCAGTAGAGATTCGTTTGGAGCCCGAGTCTGCGCAGTAGAGATTCGTTTGGAGCCCGAGTCTGCGCAGTAGAGATTCGTTTGGAGCCCGAGTCTGCGCAGTAGAGATTCGTTTGGAGCCCGAGTCTGCGCAGTAGAGATTCGTTTGGAGCCCGAGTCTGCGCAGTAGAGATTCGTTTGGAGCCCGAGTCTGCGCAGTAGAGATTCGTTTGGAGCCCGAGTCTGCGCAGTAGAGATTCGTTTGGAGCCCGAGTCTGCGCAGTAGAGATTCGTTTGGAGCCCGAGTCTGCGCAGTAGAGATTCGTTTGGAGCCCGAGTCTGCGCAGTAGAGATTCGTTTGGAGCCCGAGTCTGCGCAGTAGAGATTCGTTTGGAGCCCGAGTCTGCGCAGTAGAGATTCGTTTGGAGCCCGAGTCTGCGCAGTAGAGATTCGTTTGGAGCCCGAGTCTGCGCAGTAGAGATTCGTTTGGAGCCCGAGTCTGCGCAGTAGAGATTCGTTTGGAGCCCGAGTCTGCGCAGTAGAGATTCGTTTGGAGCCCGAGTCTGCGCAGTAGAGATTCGTTTGGAGCCCGAGTCTGCGCAGTAGAGATTCGTTTGGAGCCCGAGTCTGCGCAGTAGAGATTCGTTTGGAGCCCGAGTCTGCGCAGTAGAGATTCGTTTGGAGCCCGAGTCTGCGCAGTAGAGATTCGTTTGGAGCCCGAGTCTGCGCAGTAGAGATTCGTTTGGAGCCCGAGTCTGCGCAGTAGAGATTCGTTTGGAGCCCGAGTCTGCGCAGTAGAGATTCGTTTGGAGCCCGAGTCTGCGCAGTAGAGATTCGTTTGGAGCCCGAGTCTGCGCAGTAGAGATTCGTTTGGAGCCCGAGTCTGCGCAGTAGAGATTCTTTTGGAGCCCGAGTTTGCACAGTAGAGTAGTTTGGAGCCCGAGTCTGCGCAGTAGTGATTCGTTTGAAATGGAGTAGTTGGGAGCCCGAGTCTGCACAGTAGAGTAGTTTGGAGCCAGAGTCTGCGCAGTAGAGTAGTTTGGAGCCCGAGTCTGCGCAGTAGTGTCGTGAGGTGGATCCGCGGTATCAAACTACCGCAGACACAATCAACCATAACGACACGCCCCGTTTTTATAGCATCAAATTACTAGCTAAAATCAAACTTATCACAAAAACGAACAATTTAACATATATCAGCGTGATGATAACTACTTTAAATGACCAAAACCATCTTTCGGAAAATTGTATTGGAAGCTTGTTAATACTGATTTCATTTGATTGGTAACTTATATTCCTTATTCTACTTGTTCTTATTCTGTCGTTTTAATAAAATTTTTTAAAAAAGCTTATAAAATATAATTTTTTAAAGAATTTGACAAAAGATGACATACTTTTAATAAAGTTAGAGGAGTCAAATATTACCTCGTAATGGGAAGGCTACTTTTTGATAACATTTTGGATTATTGATTAGAAGGTGCTCCTAAAATTTTGAACGTGCTCCTAAATTTTTTAAGTTAGGAGCACAAGTGCTCCTAAAAAGAAAAGTAAGCGTCGAGCCCTGATTGGAAGCGTAATTTATTTTGACTCAAGTCCCATTCGTTTACATGGAGAGGGCAGGGTTTATGCCCTGTACTGCAGCCAGCCACCAGGGGCGATCAAAGAGCCCGCAGCTTCACTTTTCAGGACGTGTGAGGCACACCCGGGTGTGACTTGCACTCTTTTTTGGCTTGTTAAAAACTAATCTTGCTGCCGCATTGTAAAGGCTAATGGGATATATCATTTACTCACCCTCATGTTGTTTCAAACCTGTATGACCGACTATGGAACATACTATTTTTTAATAAAATATATAAATGTATTTTGAAGATATTTAGCTAATTAAACAGTTTCAGTTCCCATTGACTTCCGTGATATGGACAATAAAAACTATGGGAAGTCAAATTGGAACCAAAACTCTTTGGTTACCAAAATTCTAAATATCTTTTTTGGTGTTCAGCAAAATAAAGAAAGTTACACAGGTTTGGAAAAACATGAGGGTGAGTGAATGATGAATTTTCATTTTTGGGAGAACTGTCCCTTTAAGCTGCAGCAGTCATATCCTCACCTTCAAACTGGAGCCCAAACACAGGATGAGGTCAGCCTGTTCTGCCGCCTCAGCGGCCCCCTTCCAGTTGAGCGGCTGCTCCAGAGTGCCACGCTCACCGAAGTGAACTATAGTGTCTCTGAGCTGCGCTCTGCAGTGAGGACACAGGCGGCCCGTCCCGTGTCTGTGCAGAGCCGTGCGCTCCGTCACGTCAAACAGCCGGATAAACTCTCGTGCTGGAGAGCAGGAATCACACACCTGTAGAAGGGAAGAATAATAAACAAAACATTGGATATTATAGGAACGGATTTTAAATAATGTTTTTTCCTCAACATTGGATTTTGTGATCTTTGCGCTATCCTTTAAGACAAATGAATCAAGACACTTTCACTTCAAAATTTATGACAAATTTAAAAGAGAACAAATCTCATTCCCAGACCTCGATGAACATGTTTCCGTGGAGTTCAGAGAGAGCATGTCTGGGCAAACCACTGCGCAGGTGAAGACCATCACAGTTCTGTGAGACCACATGCTGAACCTGCAGAAGATGCAAACTGTTATTCAATCTACTCGTATAGCACTTTTCACAATACATGTTGTTTAAAAGCTTTACTGAAAGAAATTAATGTTCATAATATTTTAATATATTTATGCATTATAGTTGTGCTTAGCTAGACTAGATTATAGTTACATTTAGTAATGACAAACAATCAAGCAGATTTGTTATATAGTATATATATCACCCTACATCATTATATGAAGAGATGTGTGATAATATAGTAGGGCTGCACGATAAATATCGCACGATATTTAATGCGCATCTCGTCAGTAAAGCCGGTTCTGTAATCAGCGGTAAATCTCCATCACGTGCGTGCTTTCACGTGGAGCAGCATTTACTACACATGTCGTCACTCACCATCTTGACTTTGTGTAGCATCCAGATGCACATGTGTGTGAGAGTGGGCTCAGCTCGACTCAGATCTGATGCACTGACGGATACAAAGACAGACAGATGTTAACATGTGGCACCAGAACACACCCAACTAGAAAAATAAATAAATAGTAGGCAGGACTAAATCTTAAACTCTAAAGCCATATTTTAGACAGGAAACAGTGTAATAGTGGACCCCTAACCTCACAGATCGGCCCTTCTGCAGCTGAGTCCACACGCCATTGGGCCCCCGATAGTCTGGGATAGAGGCGGCCTGACGAGAACACACAAACTCACATAATTAACACAGAGATGGACAACATATCCAACATTTACAACACATGTTGGTATTACTAAACTGAGCAGAAGTCACAAATATTTCAGTGTATTTAATGCACTTCATCAGGCCACTATGTTTCCTAAAGAGTATGGCAGTGAGTGTGTTTGTAGCTTCCAGCACAGATGAGAAAGACGCACAGTACTGATTCCTGCTCCGGTGTAGATGACCACATGCTTGGCCTGCTGCAGCGCCTCCGCCATCTGCCTCACTTTAGCCTTCAGGCTCTCAGCATCATCAAACACCTGCAACCACCACAACCACATTTATATGATCACTGAAAAAGTGAAATATGCAAAAAGCAATGCATCTGCTGAGACTGTGAAATCTGCTGGGCACTTTGCTATTCCATAAAGCCACAGGATCTGAGGATTTAATCGTAAATTAAATTGTTAATTGCAAAAATAATACAAAGTATTATTTGTTTGACAATAAATTGTCAGCATAATTGTTGGATTAAAGGACAAAGGCAACATGCTGGATGTAGAGTGTCTGGGAATGCATCCATACGACACCTGAAGGGAGAACAGCGTTATTAACAGACAGAAGTTCTTCAGTGAATACAGTAGGCAATTTCATTGCATGTTCAGTATCTGTATCAGGGTTTCTGCAGGTTTTATGAAGGTCTAAGGAATAAATTGAAGGGAACCCAATATGTTATCTAAATATAAATGTTTAGGAAGCACACAATGAGTTGTATTTGAGTTGTGTACGAGTGGATGTGTTGTAGCAACACTTCAAAGTTTTAAAATTTAATTTAAAATTTTCCACAAAAAAAAAAAGCGTAAGAAGACTTAAATAGCTCTGCTTCCAACCACTAGAATATAGAAATAACTTATAAGTTCTCTGATCAAAAAGTGATGTTTCTCTGAGTATTTTTGTCATTTTCCAGTGCAAATGTCTAAAGATTCAAGATACATTTACAAAATGGCAAGAAGTCTTGTTTCCTGTGAAATTCATTAAAAATTAAGCAAGTTCATGATTAAAACAAGAACAAATATATGCTAATGGACTCACTCATTTTAAAAGGAAAACAAGATTTTCATTTTCAGATATTTGCTCTTGTTTTTAAGCATGAACTCACAAAATTTTGTTCAGTTTCTCAGAAAACCAGAATTCATTTCTTCTTTTTGCATCAGTAAATGTATCTTGATGTAAGAATGTTTGGATATTTGTACTGAGGAAGATTCTTTTTTTTTTTGCTGTGCCATGCCTTTTTGAATTTAAGACTGTTGTTTTGATTTAAGACCTCAACTTGTGGAAGGGTGAATTAAGAGTTTAAAGCGCTTTTCAAGGCCTGTTTGAGATCAGCGGTATATGGTGCTTGTGTCCACCTCCTCCTGCTTCCTCTTGAGCAGGGCTCTGCGGCTGTGTCTGCGGCTCAGCTCCTGCACCGTGTCCCGATGCTCCTGCAGCAGAGCCCTGTCCTCCGGCGTCCGCTCCGCCTCGGCCTTCTGGAGGAGCCTGGAGACCTGCACAGACACACACTTCAGTCTCCAGACTCAGCGGCACACAACGAGTTTCTTTTCTTGTAACTGGCCAAAACCATGGAAACCGCAGGTAGAGTAACCGTGACTACAACAAAGACATAAATAACACTGGATCTCCTCCAAACACTGTGAGAAGCCTTCAGGATCTTACTATAATTTAATTTCGCCGATTACATGTCGAAAATGGCACAAAACCACCAGTTTTTATACTGTAACTGTACTAGCAACGGCATTCTGGCACAAACCACGGTTCCCATGAAAACCTCCAGGCTTTGAACTGGAGATAATTAGCTCGCCTCGCCGGCTGTAACGCTGCCGCTCTGTGTTTCGCGTCGTTACAGTTTCTGCTCATATGGATTCATTATAATGACGTTATGTGTTAGTGATATAATGCCTCGCATTCATACCGTCTTCACCGTCTGTCGTTGTTTCTCTCGCTGGATTATTCTCGCCTTTTCTTGCTGTTTTCTTTCGGCTCGCGCAGAGCAGCCGCTGTTTGTGTTCACGTCCATGCTGGATCTCGCCAGTGACTCCAGTGCTGACGCCGCGCTCTTCTTCTTCTTCTTCTGATGTTTATTGGCGGTTTTGGCAAACCAACTTAAAGGTGCATTACCGCCACCTACTGATCTGGAGTGTGGAGTGAACCCTCTTGCCAGAATATCTACAATCTCATTTCCTTCCACCCCTACATGAGCAGGAACCCAAAGGAAGGAAACATCCAGCCCTTTAGCATACAGTAATAAAAGCAAGTTGAATATCTGGTATATGATATCTTGTCTGCATGATGTTTTCCCAGACTGAATACTAGATAGAGCAGATAAGCTGTCAGAAGCTATGATTACATTGTGGTTCTGTTTATTTCCTTCCAGCCACTGTAATGCCAATGAAATTGCTAAAAGCTCTACTGTGTACACCGATAAATGATCTGCTGTTCTCTTTTTTAACTGCTATTTCATAATGCGAAATGAACTGAAGCCGCTCTCGCGAGGCAAAACGAGATTTGCATTAAACAAATGAAAAGTGGAGCCATCGGTCAAAGTGAAATGTTATTTTTTATTTTATTTTATTTCATTTTATCAGCCTGACCGAGATGGTTTAGCTGGGTGGCTCTTAGCTTAAGTAGTTGAAAAGTAGGCAAAAGCCATCTAAAACGTTTAAAAAACATTTATATTAAATATACAAATAAAAGCGTCTGAATGTGTGAGTGAGTGAGTGTCAGTAGGTGGCGGTAATGCACTCTTCAACCCTTGTTAACTGAAGGAAGAAGAAGACGCGCTTCCGCTTTCATTACGTCCATGCTGATTTGATTCTGTTTCTCTGAACCTGAATCTGTTTTATTCATTTCACCATGTCTATTAAATTAAATGCTCTTTTCAGCGACTCATATGTGGATGTAAGCCAGTATAGAGACCAACATTTTAAGGTGAGCATTATTTTTCCTTTTGGTAAGGATGCATCAAACATTCTGGCACCTTTTATATTTTCCCCATTATATTATAGTTATTTTTCTCTTTTATTTATTTATGTATTATACAAACTTAACTGTATAGTTAATTACATTTTTGCAATTGAACAAATGTTTATGGATAATGTTCCCTGAATAATGTATTTATTTAAAAAAAACTTCCACATTACAGTTTACCTTTTGTGAGGCAGCCTTGGATAATTATGAAGTATTTAGTATATGTTACTCAAATAGAGTCGGTTTAATGCATACAGCTCCTTTTAAAAAGGTATGTTAGAGACAGGGTTTTTGTTTTAAAAAGAAGATTCTCGTGTTCACCGAGGCTGCATTACTTGATCAAAAATAGTCAAAAACGTAATACTGTGAACTATTATTACATTTTAAATAACTGTTTTCTATTTTAATATATTTTATACTTGATATAATGACAGCTGTATATTCAGCAGCCATTACTTTAATCTTTAGTGTCACATGATCCTTCAGAAATCACTCTAATTTGCTGATTTGATGCTTAAAACCTGTGACTCAGTGTCTTTTTATAGGACTCTCTGATGTTTTGAAATGGGAATCGTCCTTGCTGAATAAAAGTATAGGTTTAATTTAAAAAACAAAGCAAAGACGCAGGCTGTTGGTGTGTGAGAGCACACAGGAGAGCTGAAGCGGTCTTCTCTGCAGGGCAACCGTTACGAGCAGGAGAAGCTGCTGAAGCAGAGCTGCTCGCTGTATGTGGGAAACCTGTCCTTCTACACCACAGAGGAGCAGGTGCATGAGCTCTTCTCCAAGAGCGGAGACGTCAAGAGGATCGTCATCGGCCTCGACAAAGTCAAGAAGACCGCCTGCGGCTTCTGTTTCGTCGAGTATCCTTTCAGTTTCTGCAACAGAGGACCTGAATGCTGTGATATTGTGTTGTCTTAACATGTGAGCCCTCAATCTTCCCTCTGCCAGCTCTCTCAACTCTTTAAGGAAGGGTTGGCTCACTTTTTTCTTCAAAAACTTAATAACTTACACATAATTTTATACTCTCTCTCTCTGGCAAATCAAATCAAACTTTTAAAGGATAGTCCACCCAAAAATGAAAACTGTCATCATTTACTCACCTTCATGTCGTTCCAAACCCATCAGAAAGACAAATGAAGATACTTTTAATGAAACCGGAGTGATTTCTGTCCTTGCATTGAAATTCAGTTCCACCAAAACTGCACATTTGAGCTGCTGTGCTCTACTTTTGTGCGTTTTGAAAATGAACAAAGGTCTTAAAGGGATAGTTCACCCAAAAATGAAAATGTGATGTTTATCTGCTTACCTTCAGGGCATCCAAGATGTAGGTGACTTTGTTTCTTCAGTAGAACACAAATTATGATTTTTAACTTTAACTGTCAACACACCCATTAACGTAAACTACGCCAGAGCGCGTACACACCTCACGCACCGGATGCCGTGCGCGCGCCCAGAGACAGTTGGACATAGTTGTGTATTAGAGGTAAAAAATGATATAAATACTGTTCGGTTTTTCGCACGAACCGATCGTTTCGTCTCTTAGGACATCAATGTGTCGTCACGAGCCGCAGGGTTTAATTTGGATTCGTCTGTGCATGTTTTTTTTACTCTCATAGATTTTGTTACCATTGCCATGCATTATACGACTGATAGACTGCAACGGCTGGAGTTAAAAATCATAATTTGTGTTCTACTGAAGAAACAAAGTCACCTACATCTTGGATGCCCTGGGGGTAAGCAGATAAACATCACATTTCATTTTTGGGTGAACTATCCCTTTAAATTACAATGTTCATTTTTTTTGTGTGAACTGTCCCTTTAAGAAATGCAACTTTTGCATGTAATTCCTCATCAGTGTTTGAGAGTAGTATAAAGTCATTTCATTTCATATGATATTAGTCCTTTAAAATAAGTCTTTGATCACAATCGCATTTCATTTTCGGCCAAGACTTGCTTTCACAGACAGAAGCTGTCAGTTCTTTAGCTGCTGATGTGAAGATATTACACTCGTGCTGATGCTGAGAATGCCATGAGGTTTATCAATGGCTCGAGGCTGGATGACCGGATCATCCGAACGGACTGGGACGCAGGCTTTAAAGAGGGCAGGCAGTTTGGCCGGGGCAAGTCAGGCGGGCAGGTGAGTGAGAAAACACACAAAGAGACCGCTATGATCACCATAATCATTACACTTATATTTCATGAACTGTAAAAACATGCCTGTGAATCGAGGTCCAGAAGCCCGAGAGCATCTTCATGCTTCCATTCTTAAAGATTCTTTTCAGCGTTTCAATCTCAGTGTTTTTTTTTTTTTCTATGCAATTTAAGTGTTTTGTTGCTATACCTCTCTTTTGGACCCCACTGTACATGCAGCATTATTTTACAAGATGTGTGTGTCCTGTTTCTGTGTGATGTGACTGTGTAGCTGTTATCAGTCAGAGCCTGTTCTTTGTGTTTCCAGGTCAGAGATGAGTACAGGCAGGACTATGACCCCGCCAGAGGAGGTTATGGGAAGCTGGTGCAGAAGTCTTGAACATGCCTTTCGCCAGAATTTTTTTAAACGTTTGCTTTTCTAGGTTAACAATGAACACGGACAGGGCTGCGCAGTAACAGATCCAGTGTGTGCGATGTACATATTAGAGTTTAGTGCTTTAGGAATATTCATGCCTGAAATTCATCTAGTCTGGAATGTATAGGCTTTCTTTCTTTTTTTTTCTTTTTAATAAATTGTGTTTAATATAAACTGCCTTGTAAAAGCCCCACTGTTTGTCTTTAGATGCATCTACTGCATGCGTAATCCTAAATGTAAAATGTGTCTCCCAGTGAATGTAGTCTGGTTTGCTGACATTAACTGGAGCTCAGAAGAGTGAACAGGGCAATAATCAGCACTGATGTAAAAAAAAAAAAAAAAAGACATCGTGTAATTAGTGCACAACTCCTTGGATCAGTTTCAGTCATTACACAATTAAACATCAACCCATTCTAGTGTTTATAAAACTATTTTATTACTTAAAAAAAAAGGATTCTAAACTATTTAGACATGTCTCAAATTTTGATAACAGGGTTGCAAATACTCAATTTACACTGGCCTTCTAAGGTGGAAAATCAGCATTTTGTGAGGGTTAAGCGCCTCCTTTCATAAGCGTTTGCAAACACAACGACAGACACGGCACTGCTTATTCAACATGGTTTTATGTATTTTTAAATAATGATGAAACTAGTAGTCAGAAACTCAGTCTGAGGTTATGATTCGTTGGTTCAAGTAACTAAATGACAGTATCGCTCTTGAATGCTGGGTCAACTGACAACAGTATAAATCTACTATCCTGACATTTTTGTGCCAAACTGCATCACAAGAGAGAAAAACGCTCATCACACAGAACAGAAAAGATGGCCATAAAGATGACGACTCGAGCACATCACAAACGCAAGAATCAAATATAGCTTGGCTTTCAGCGTTTGTATGAACCAATGACAGAACGGCAGGTTTAGCTGATATTTTTCAGATCAGTCTTCACCATTAAAAAGAGTATAAATAAAAGGCAAAAACCTGCAGCTTTCACTGCAACAACCTCACTGCTCATTTAACAATGACCTTTAACTGACTTCCATTAATGACAAATCTACATGCTACAAAATCATTTTAACTGCTGACGCATTCGAGGAACAACAACGGAAAGTGCTCAGAAGTGAGAGAACGGCAGAATGGCCAAATAATGCTGGCGGTTTACAGCAGGCAGCCTGATGTTGAGCATCAATCCCGCGGCTTTTTCATTAGAAACATCTGGGAACATATAAATGTTAACAAAGCAATCTGGTCCAGGACTTTAAGGGTATCGCCACAAGATTTGCTTTCAAGTTACAAGCTTGACTGTACAAGTATAATTCTGGTCTTTGACAGTACATTCATTAAAAGCCTTTACAAATGCTTCTTGTACCTCAACAACGGCGTGGCATTTATAATAAGTCCTTCAAGTTTCATGCTGCAAAGCAAAAACTGTTCTTTACGAAAAGAAACCTGATAGAAACACATAATCTGTGTTACGGCTGTGTTACAAGATGCAAAGATGAACAAATAAAATTTAAAATAAAATAAGTTAAAAAAAAATATCCACACGTGCGTGAGGTTTTGAATCTGGAAAACGGAAAAAGGTCTCCACAGCTGAGGATTTTCTCGCTTGTTTCTGAACAGCCACCTGGTTCTCTGAGAGGTCGTCGCAGGCTTCGTTAAATTCGAGGTTGAGGATGCTGGGAAAAGGCCTTTCTGAGCCGCCGATGTAATGCGAGGAGGTAAACGTGACCTGAAGACCTCCAGCAAACCGACAGGCTCTTATATTGGGGCCTTCCAGCTTTGCCTGTCCAGAACTCTGGGTTTCTTTGTCCTGCTGTGAAGTCCTTTCCCTCCTGTTGCGTTCATCATCCAGACACCAGTCTACGAGGCTTTGTCTTGGTGTAGACAGCCGGACAGTCTGCAGTCACACAGCTCTCTGTAGATCCTCTTGCGGACGCGAGGCATGTCCTCTTGAGTGAAGAGCAGCGGCTTCATGAACGCCAGGCACTTGCAGTACTGCATAATGAAAGATTATATATCATGGTACGAGTCATTTTATTATAGATATATAACTTAAGAGTAACATTAGGGTCTTATTAATCTTGAACACCAACATTTGCTCAATCATTTGCTCCAAGTCCAAACATTTAAGAGATTTAATAAAGATTAAATGTTCTCGAAATCTATACCGTGCATTTAGAAAATATATAGGGTGAATTTTCATTTCATGATATTAAAAATCAGCAGTGAATGAAAATGCAACTGAGTCGCCACAAGTTTCATGCCCAAAAGCGGTTTACAGAACTGTCTGTATCGTCAGACCACCCAGTTCTGCTGTACAGAAACATTTCTTACCTCCAGGACAAAAACCCCGCAGTCATTGTCGTTCTTCTGCTGTGGAATGGTCCTGTTGATGACCATCTTCCAGCCCTTCTGAAACACGGCTTGTTTCTTCTCCTTGGCTTCTGCCAGGATGTACTTCAGGATGTTCTGTGGATGAGAGGAGTCACACACGTCAGGTCTCTGAGGATTTCAGTCTGAAGCACCCTTCAAAAGCACTCACATCCACAGCGAACTTGAACAGGATGCCCTGAGAGTCGAAGATGTTGATGCTTTGCTTGGAGACGTCCAGGGTTATGAGCGACCAGTGGATCTCCAGGTGCAGAGGAATCAGGATCAGTGTCTTAGAAAACAGATCAACCTGAGCAAATCAAGACAGAAGACATTAGGCAGTCTGCATTATTTGGAATCCACATAAGTGCCTCAATTCCTTAAAATAACAGCAATGGGACACACATTCCATATTATGTCGATAGAAAACAGTTAGACGAAATAAACGAAGAATTTTGAGAAATGTATGGTTTTTTTGTCCATACAAAAGAAGGTAAGTGGGCTTAAAACTATCTTCTTCCACAGCACAAAAATGTCATATAGGTTTGGAATAACATGAGGGTGAGTAAATGATGACAGAAGTTAAATTTTTGGGTGGGCATTTGTTGAAAAGAACAAAAAGTTGACTTAGGAAAGACTTAGAGGAGACTCATTATCATGCACAGATGAGATGCATGATAATATGTGATGCTTTTAGGGCCCTATGATTTCCGCGATGCAGAAAATGCGGAATCCAGTCTTAAAAACGGAATTTACTGTAAAAGACTGAATGTCACAGAATTTGCCAAATTTTGGATGAATAAATAAAAAGTAGGTCAGTACACCTAAATCAAAACGTGATATGGACTAGTGTCTATTTAAATATGATTCCTGCATATTCTGCGTGTCTCTGTGTGAATGAATGGTGTCATTTACTACACATACATTTTCAGCCTCTGCCACCTCAATATATGAGTACATGAAGACATGAACATAATCTCCAGAACTGCTCTGAGAGTCACTTCATGAGCATTTTACCATTTCCTTTGAGAAAAACTCTCAAATCATATAATACGTGACCCTGGAGCACAAAAGCAGTCTTAAGTCGCTGGGGTATATTTGTAGCAATAGCCAACAATACATTGTATGGGTCAAAATTATCGATTTTTCTTTTATGCCAAAAATCATAAGGATATTAAGTAAAGATCATGTTCCATGAAGATATTTAGTAAATTTCCTACCGTAAATATATCAAAACTTAATTTTTGATTAGTAATATGCATTGCTAAGAACTTAATTTGAACAACTTTAAAGGTGATTTTCTCAATATTTAGATTTTTTTGCACCCTTAGATTCCAGATTTTCAAATAGTTGTATCTCAGCCAAATATTGTCCTATCCTAACAAACCATACATCAATGGAAAGATTATTTATTCAGCTGTATATATGTATATATGTGTAAATGTACCCTTATGACTGGCTTTGTGGTCCAGGGTCACACAGAATCCTAAAGGTCTTTACAGCAACCCGTCAAAATAAAAGTTCAGTTTAACTTGAAGAAACTGTGACAAATATATTACTTAATGTAATGATAATACTGTTACTTTTAATACAATTATTATTAAAACATTATTAAGGAATATTTACCATAAAAAATTACATATTTTATTATTTATTTAGCATAAAAATTTAAATACACAGAAGGCCCCCAAAAAGCCCTGTTTTTTTGAAAAAAAAAAAAAAAATATATATATATATTTTTTAAATCAATAAATTAGAGATGCCATTGATTTTTTAAATTTAACGAAACCATTAAAATGGAACCTAGAAAATTTATGGAAAACAGAATTTGGTAAAAAATAAAACTGAATTAGAGAAAAAAAAAACATATTTCATAGGGCCTTAAATATGTAAATTTTGTTAAACTTTTGATAAATTGCTGTTAAATTGTGTACATTTCATGATTTAAATTAATTAGACATGTTTTTTGATTAATAAATTTTTATTTAACAGAGTAAAGAAAACTTAAAACAGAAAAAATAAACCGGATTTCGTAGGGCCCTATGTTTTGCGTGTAGGGGAAAGAGAAACAAAACAAAACAAACACACAGTCAATACATAATGCAAAATACCAAAACTAAAGACACTGAGAGACTGGTTTAAAATGGTTCAATCTGGTTTAGAATATATATATATATATATTTTAAACATACAGAAAGCAAGTATCATCATTATTATTATTATTATTGTAGTATTATTATTATGCCTTTCAGCCAGTAATGCATAGCCTCTAGAAAACATACCAGTCTTAAATAACTACAACTATCACAGTTCATAAGTGGTCACCTTCACCACTCTTTGGCAAATATTCTTGGGTGAAATCTAGTCATTTAATAGGTTCCCACGCAAACAGGAATTTCTCATGAGGGTGAAGGATTTCCCCAAACAGATTTCACAACAGGTTCAAGTTGGTCAGGGAAATTCACACCGTTGTCCAACAGAAAGTGTCTAGTATGTGAGCTGGGCTCGTGTTGCTGCTACACTACAGACATATTAGCCCCCAAAATATTGATAATTGGACTAAACACAGCTTATGACTGACTCACACACTCTTGTGTGCTGCGGTTGTGAATCTCAGTACAGCTGTGATTCGGTCATAGACACAAGGCTGCAGGGGATCTCAGCTGTACGAGATTCAGAACAGAGCTCCAGTGGATGCCATTAATGCTTTTACCTTATGATTTGTAGCTTCCATGATCAATTCTCCATACATGTTAATCACCTGCAAAATCCGATAAACACATCCTGCGTGACTTCAGTGTACATGTATATACTGCTTAGAAATATGGATTTCAAAGAGGCCTACCTGATCATTGACCCAGTTTTGGTCATCGAGTGTTGAAAGGTCATCTAAGGTCAAAGTGTGCTTGTTGTAGGTCACTTGGAAGAAATGCACAGGAGCACAGGCCAGACCAGCCCTGTACTTGGCCACTTCTGCTGTTATCAGCTTCATCCTGCAGCAGAATATACAGAATACGAAGTGAAATTAGGACACTCAACCCTAAACCTTGTGCTAATTTCCACAAATTGGGCATAAATTGGTGTTCCGTTACTTTTCTAAAAACTGGAAGCACAAATCCCATTCTTTGAAATGTGAAAACTGTGGTTATCTAACATATCTAATGTAATCTAGCATCAAATCACCCTTTTTCTCTCTTACATTAATTGGAAATGTACACTAGCGATCAAAATATTGGGGTCGGTATGATTATTTATGTTTTTGAAAGAAGTCTCTGCTCACCAAGGCTGCATTTATTTGCTCAAAAGCACAGTAAAAACGGTAATACTGAGAAATAATATTGCAGTATAAAACAGCTGTTTCTGTGTGAATATGTGTTAAACTGTAATTTATTTCTGTGATCTGCAGCTGTATTTTCAGCATCATTACTCCAGTCTTCAGTGTCACATGATCTTCAGAAATCATTCTGATATTTGCTGCTCAAGAGACATTTCTGATTATTATCAATGTTGAAAACTGAATATTTTTGTGGAAACGTTTTGCGATACATTTTTTCATATTCTTTGATGAATACAAATTTCAAAAGAATAGCTTTTTTTGTACAGTGTAAAAGTCTTTACTGTCACTTTTGATCAACTGAATGATGTGTCCTTGCTGAATGAAAGAATCATTTTTGACTTACCGACCCTTTCACTGATTACAGAGAACTGGACGTGGACTTGATTTTGTACTGTGCTTGTGGAAAAAATGATTCATTAGGGATTAAACTTGCCTGTCATTTAGATCAGACTGAAACGTCTTATTTAGGTGATCGAGGACGTCGGTATCACTTAATGGGGTGAAGCTTCCGTATTTCCCATAGAACTGCTCGAGGAATTCTGGGAGATAAAAAGCACGTTCAGTAACTAAAGCATGACACCAGAAATCAACAGAAGCTGTGGAGATCATCCGAACACTACCATGAATCCACTCGATGATGCCCTCAGTTGTAAACTCGAGAGGAGGCGATGCAGACGGCTGGCCCGTCTCCTCCCTGGAGTGGCTCTGGTTCTCCCCAGCGAGGGGCTTGCAGTAGTGATGGTCCCAGGAGGCCTTGTTTACATTAGTGCTCAAGCTGGACGGCTCGGCTTCCATGGCATCAGTGTGAGTGCAAACGTCCGGCTTCTTTGTTAAGTCATTCAGCGTGGCAGAACGGCTCAGCTCTGTGTTGTCACTGGGATGTGTACAGTTGGCATGAGCGCTGTTCTCCAAGCCGTTCACCAGGACGGTTCTTTCCCTCCCACCCTCAGTCCTCCCTTTAGGAGACGGTGCCTCCTCCATCTCAGAAGCTGCGTCCGCTTCCAAAGTTACCACCGAGTCCACAGCCGCCGAGCTCACCACCTCCTCCGCCGCCACTTCTTCTTCTTGGCTCAGCATCTCTTTCTTCTTGCGGCCGCGTTTCTTCAGCGCGTGGGGCTTGCCGTGGGGCCCGCAGCAGTCGCACGTCTTCGGCACCCGTTTCCTCCTGGAGCGTCCATTCTCAGGCATCTCACCCGAGCCGGACTCTGCCTTAATGGAGCTGTTTGCTGCCGGGACCCTCATCGAGAACGCTACCCCATTCCTCCCGGGGTCCTCTCCACCCGCTCTGTGTTTAGGACTCCTCCATCGACACGCAGACGCTGGAATTCCCCGCAGTGTGGATGTACTTGTCTAATCTGCACGCTGAAAAAAAGATCGAATAAAATAACAAAGAATAAAACAATGTTGTTGATTTGATATTAAAATCATGAGAAGTCAGTACTTTGCAGAAATAACATAAACAGTATTGTGTGGGTAACAGGTATTGGTTAGGGTCTGGTTAAAAACACTACACAAAATTGTGTACTATATATAGACCCACATATGCGCCTTCATTTTCAAACAATTTCAAGCACACAAGTACTTTGTAAGCAAATTTTGCAAACCAAATGTGCCTAACTCTTTTAAACACTGAATATGCTTTTTAAAATTGTCTTGTTTTTTTTATTAGTTATTTTGTATCCCTATCCTGTCTATTTGTCATTATTATAGTGAATTAATTCTGCAAGGCGTCTTTTTACATGGAGTTCTGGAGAGAGAAAAAACTCAGTAAGTTAGTTTTATTATTATTTTTTATTGTTATAAGCATTTGGCACATGGTACTTTTAAACAGTCTATACCACCTTCATATAACATTATCAATATAGTATCACCACGGTAAACCACAAACCACGGTTCAGTGATGCTATCATGTGGTAATATATATTTTGTTATACACCATATATATATAATGAATGATTTGTATAATCGTGTGGTATGTATATGATGATCTAAGGTACTTCAGTGAATACCGATGCACATGTATAATAGTGTTACCGTGGTAACGTACTGGTGTGAATCTCTTGTTTAGGCAGTAAAATCAGCGGATCGCAGACGGATTTTCTTATTTATTAGAGGAAAATCTGACTGTAATATTCTGATCGAAAACCAAACTGAATGAAAACATGAACGCATACAAGTCTAACGCCCTCGGGAAGCTCTAAGTAAAAATGACCTATGGTGAGATAATCAGTCACTCAGATCTGAATAACGTTAGATCATTTATTTAGCAATCAAACAAAACACAAAGCCCAGCCTTTCAAACACTCGCGCGCATCTGTGACTCACAGCCTCACCGTGTGTCGCTCTCAGGGACGATGTGTGCGGGATCTTAAAGGCAGTGCGAATAAATTCCGATCAATATTGCGCTATCAATGAAATCGATCAAAGTGAGGGCTATCAGGCGTTGTTATGGTCGCAGACCGAGAGCGGCGCGCGCCGATGACGTCACTCGCCGAAGCGCTTTGGCGGCATCTAGCGGGAAGGAGATAGCGAGCGCTTTTTAATGTCAATAATCACAACAACAGTCTTTGCAACTTCAGGGATCTTATCTATGCACAATCAGCTTGTAACACTCCAAAGAGAAAGGAAAACTTGAAATCGCATCATATGACCCCTTTAAATATTATGCTTGGATATTTTGAGTCTTGCGGCTGCCCTTCTTCAATTCACTCACGGTGCTCTGTTTGCTTACAGGAAACCTTCACGGTTCAATTGTTAAATTTATGAACAAACGTTCTTCCAGTAATTTTAATACAATACTTATTCAAAGTTACCTGTTTTTTAACAATCAAATTGTTATTTATGCATCGTTTATTAAGTATTTCTATGATGTTTTAGTTGGACGTTTGTTCAATGTTTGTTTTGTATTTTTTAACGTTACTATTGGTTTCAGAGCGCTCAGAGAACATTCAAAAGTAACATTCCCATCACGTTTGCAAAATAATAAAACGAATTAATGCTTTCTGTAATGTAAAGAGGGGAAAAAAACTTTTTAAATAATAATAATAATAGTAATAATAAAAACTGGACATTTTGTATGTTCAGACAACTTTCAGAAATAGGCGAATGTTTTCATAATGTAAAGATTGGTGCACCTGAGTCTAAATCTACTCTATAATCTGTCTAAGAATAATATTGATGTTCAGTTTACATTCTCCTGATATAGACACATATATACATAAACCATAAAAGTGTGGAGCTTCATTTAGCTTAGTTTATTAGTAATGACAACAAACCATAGATAATACATCAAAAATCAATATTTACAAAACTGTATGCTATATTGTACAAAGATATCTTTCAAAAGCATTTAATGTCAACATTTGCCCAGTTAAAGCAGCATATCCCAGCACATGTGTTGTCTGTATGCTGTGAGTGTATTTGTAAAGACAGACAGCTAAAGCGGAGACACGTTAACACGCTTTGCAGCAAATCAATCTGATCTAGCCTGATATAACTGATACAGTATAAGGCACTGACATATATCTCACCATTTGTCCTACACTCGTTCTGCTTGAGATTAATGCATTACATTCACAATAAATAAAAGCAGACATGCTGTTGTTTAGAAATAACCCGGTTCAAATGGTGCAATCTGAGATTAATTAGAGATGCAGTGTTGAATTTAATATATTACATTACTTGTTCAATTAAAAATATTTATATTAGGCAATATTCATGAAACACGAGCGGAACGAATTTCTGTGTAAACTGTTCGTAAAATGAACTTTGCTAGTCATGAGTATGGTTCTCAAGGAAAACACATGATCAAAATATATCTGATGAATGCACTTCTGGAAAACAGTGTCTCCTAAATTAATAAAGAGTAATGTAAAATAACTACAATTTACCCAAGAATGGTTTCAGACATTCATACAGCTTGTGTTTCATGACTGAGATTTATTAAACTTCTGTATGAAAAACAAATGTTAATAAAATGATGTGGCGCATAACTATATGCAACTCCATACTAAATACATCAGTGCTACTCATTTTTACATCACAAAAGCACAAGTTGTTTATTCATCATTCCTGTATTACGAGCTGGTCTGGTGCGAGTGCTCTCGTCCCATTCCTCCGACTCCATGACGGCAGACACGTCTCTCTGATGATGAAGAGTGCTTTACATTTAGTCCTTTAACAGACACACCTGTCCAAATGAGGAGCAACACAAGCACTTCCTCATATACGAGTAGCTTGATTCCTCGCTTCTTTCCTCCAGCTGTAAAGAAGTATAATATTATTAGCCATTGCTACAGTGAGCTGCTGCAGAGCACAGACAGTGTTTCAGTGGATATCGACTGGAATTTAGCTGTTTCTCAATCAAAGCTCAAAAATGACTGAAAGAATGGCTGCTTGTTTCCGACACATGAGAAAAAAAGACATTTTATAAAGATTATATAAATGGAAATAATGGCATATTTATGAGATAAACTCAAAATTATGACACCAAGTCAAAATGATGAGGTAAAAGTCTAAATTATGACAGTCGAAATCATGGGGTAAAAGTCGAAATTAACATAAAAAGTCATAATTATCACTTAAAACATGAAATTACATGATAAAGTTACAACTGAAATCAAAGTCCTAATTATGACATAAAAAGTCAAAATTCTGAGCTAAAAAGCCTTAGTTGACTTTTATTTTGACTTTCATAATTTTGACTTTCTGCAGTGTGAGACATGAAGAGCTGCAGTCTCACCAGTAGAAGACGACTGACTTACCAATAATTGACCTAACATCCCATAATGTGTACTTTTGATGTCATAATTAAAAAATGTTATGACATAATTATGACTTTTTAAACTCATAATTTTGGCTTTTTATCACGATTTCTACTTTATTTTTATAATTCTGATTTTACTTTTGATATTTGACTTACATTTTTTTCTTGCGTGGCACTAAAGGACTTCCATATGAAAGTCCTGGACACTTTGCTTTCATTGTACAGAGAAGAACAGCGTGAACATTCTTCAAAACATTTTATATTGTGTTCCACAGAAGAAAGTCGAGTTTCTTATGCTGCATCTTCTGTTACACACACCTTGTTCTCTGAATGTCATATATATATATATATATATATATCTGGATCAATGACAAACAAGTATGTCAGAGATGATAAAAAAAGAAAAAATCTATTTTAAACAGAGGCCTTGGTATGTAATCTTCATATTCATGTCATTATTATTATTTTTAAATCCCATTTTAAAAAGCTATCATAACATATTTCCCTTAGGGTATTCAGGGTTGTTGTTTTTGTTTACTATTATGACTTTTTTCAAAATATGAATCATGAATTTGTGAGCATTATGAACATTTCACAATCCTGAAGTAATTTTGATAATTTAATAACCTTAATATTATTTATTATTAAATGAAACTGATTCATGTTTTATGGTTTTTAGAAATAAAATAGAAATGCTAATAGATTATGTCAAGCTCAGGATTAATTACATTTTTTTTATCAAGATTTTTTTGCTCATTAAATTCTGAGGATGGTTACAGCAACTTATATATTATGAACTTATAAACGTATATATAATATAACTTAAACATTAATAAACCAGATACTGGAAAACATGTTCATCATACAAACTGTATTGTTTCTATGAAACAGTGTTATTTTAGTATAGTTGAAATACTAGTTGTTGTTAATATTTTAAATGAGATATTTTCTGTGTTTACTATAATTTTTATTTGTATTATTTAATATGTTTTATTCAGTTTAAGTGTTACTTCAACTTAAACTAAAGTGAGAAATGTTGCCTTAGTGACCAGCTGAAATAAAATAAGCTTTTTCATGTTTATTTTATTTCCATTAATGTAAATATTTTTTTTATGGTTTTAGTGTTAGTTAATGATAACAGCCCTGGTATAATAACCCTAAAGCATGTTGTGATGTACGTTTCTATCTCCAGTGCCGTGTCTGTGGTGTTTGTACCTCAGAGGCGTGTGCGGTTCCCGTGAGGAGTGTGGAGGGTCTTAGACACCGAGGGTCCGTGCCCTGCTCCAGACAGGACCTGCAGCTGCACTCTGTACTCGCTCTGGGGCTGCAGCGCCTCGACAGTCAGAGAGCGCTGATCCTGAGGCACAGGTTCACATTGAGTGTGTTTAGAGTGCTGCTGTGTTGTGTGATTGGTCAGTCAGGCGTGTCTGTGACTCACGGGGGGCAGGAGGTGTGTTTGGGAGACGAGCGAGCTGTTGGTGCTGCTGCGGGACACTTTGAGCCAGGAGAGCTGGAATCCAGTGATGGGGGTCTGTCCCGTGCTCTCTGGAGACACCTGCCAGCTAAACACAGCCTGCACCGAGCCGTTCGCCGGCTGAAGCCACGCTGACAGCTTCTCCGGCCGCTGCAGGCCTTTCTTACCCTGAGGAGGGCGCTCTAGCACAACATATTGCACTGGGATGAACCATAAAATACAGAAATGCTCTCATAACATTTGCAAAAATCTCAAACTGTCTGGCTCACATTTCACTACCAGCTCAAATAAAAACATATTTTACATGAAAAACTAAGCCTAGTTTGAGGATCACTTTTAGGATAAAAGATTTTTTCAGTGTGACATTACTGTAATTGTATATTATTATATAATGCCATTTAATATAATAATGTTGTTATTGTTGTACTTCTTTTAGATTGGAATTAATCACTATAAAAATAATCAGAATTACAAATCATGAGTTGTTGAATGTTGAAATTATGACACTAAAAAGTCCTAATTATGACAGAAAAAGTCAATGTAATGTCATAATTAGGACTTTTTATTAAATGATTTTGACTTTTTATGTCATAATCAGGACTTTTTAATCTCAATTTGGATATATAAACTTGTAAAGCTTTTATAGCTTTTTTATAATTTTGACTTTTTATGTCATAAGACTTAGTATCCCATAATTTTGACTTTATGCTTCAAATTTAAACTCATGTCAAAATTATTATGGCTTTTAACTCATAATTTTGACATTTTATGTCATAGATGACTTTTAATCTCACAATTTTTTATCTTTTTATCTCATAATTATGATTTAACAGAATTGTTTTCTTATGTGGTGGAAATGAGCTTCCATATGAAAGTCCTGGACACTGTATGCTTTCACTGTATAGAAAATGATTAATTATGACTTTTTGTCATTGCTTTTTATTTATTTATTGACATTTTGTCATCATTTTAACGTTTTTGTCATAAGTATGGCTTTTGAACTTTTTAACATTTCAAAAATGAAGCCTATTTTGAGGGTAATTTTTAGGATTTTTCAGTCTGACATTACTGTTATTGTATGTTACTGTATGCATTTTATTCTATAATTTTTATTACATTCATTTATTATTATTTTTTGTTCTTATTATTGTTGTACATTCTTTAATTTATGCTGATTTCAGAATAATTCAGAATTGAGAATAATCAGAATTACAAACAAACAAAAGTAAAACATCCAGACACTTAGATTTATGTATGTACTGTATGTCTGTATGTATTTGCATGAATGAAAACTGGGATGAATTTTTGTAATTAAAATAATAAAAAGCAGGCTTCATTTCTTTATGCAGAATTTTTTTCTTTTGATTTTTGAGTAAAAATGTGATATTATGTGAGATCCTCCCAGCTAATTTGGTGAGATTACAGTACATTTCCCTCAGTGCTCTTGTGCTAGGTATCATCTTACCCTCTCTGGCGCAGGCAGTAGGTTTTTTCCGTCGGCCCATCAGCGATGAGCAGAGTGGGGTGCTAACAGAGGTCATGACCTCTGACCTCTGCTCCTGTCCCGTAACGGGCTTCACTGCCACGCGGTACTTACAGGCAAACAGCAGGCCAGTAATCACAAAATGTGTTCCCTGCAGAGCAGAAACAGCACAGTTATTACTCCGCACAGAAGTATATTGTCTGTGGAAATGAGAAACTAAATGAAAAACACATTTAAGTAACTGCATCCTGCTCTGCGGAAAATGATACCCATCCGTACCATAATGCTATCACACGAGACACGCTCACACATTTCTATTGTGTCTGCCAGTGATGACAGATCATGTGTGGAGATGCAGCGCTTTCGGGCAGTGCTGCCATTATCTGTCACACTATTCAGCTGCATAAACTTCAGCGAACAAAGAAATCAGATGTACGAACAAGTCCGCTGGAATCCTTCTGAGGGTAAATTCAGGGTCACATGCAGGTTTGATACTGACATCATCTCTTTAGCATTAGTATCTGAATGTAAGTCGATATGATGCTTGTGAGGCATTAAATGGATAGATCACCACATTCTGGCATCATTTATTCACCTTTCCAAACATTTTTTCCCCTGTGGAACAGAAAAGGCCCAATTTTAATTTTTTTAGGGTATCAAACTACTTGCCAAAAAACCATCATCAACACTTTTTTGGTTAGACATCTGTGCTTTATCAAGAGTATTTTATTTTGGCAAATTTCACTACAATTCCAATATTTCACAACATTCCCAAGCACAATATCATACTTTATTTTTACACCACTATTTTCATGAGAAAACACATTGCTCCTGAAAGAAACCTGAGAAAGAACACCTGATTCTGATTCATGAACAAGATGAATCTGTTGAATCGGCTCACAAATCACACTGAATGATACGGGACATTTTGTTATTTTGACTTGTTTTCACAATGTTATTATCAGTAACTGTATTTAAATTTAATATATCGTCAGTTTATGTTTTGGTAGTAAAATAAAATGTTTGCTTATTTGTAGATGTATGTTCAGTGTCTTCATCAACTAAGCTTCCTTATTGTGGGATTAATTATATACTATTGCAAAATAAATAAACATGGTTCACTGATCAGTACTTTTTACTTTTAATATCTAAGCACATCAAAAAATCAAGACTTTTTTTGAAAAAAACAAACAAAAAAAACATGACATGAGAGTATCTGTACGTCCACCACTGGATACTCACATGCACTTGAACTTCAAAAAAATAAAAAATAAAATAAAAGGCCCCTTCAGACTTCTAGGCTGTAAATCAACGAGACACACCTGAACTGTGGCTGCTTTCTCGCCTTTCGTCACGTTATGTGCACAAACTTCAGGAAACCATCTCAGAATATATGAACTGGAATCCTCCTGGCTTTCTACAAGAACAAACAAGACAGAACATTGTAGGTTATGTTTTTCTGTTTCTGAGGTTGCGTCCGCATAAACGCTTTTTCAGGGACCAGCTACATTTTGCAGGCAACATAACATCTTCCTTCAAACCCATGTCAGGTCGTCATCCCCTTCATCTGTTTTTGATTTCCGGCATTATTAAATCACTCTCCAGGCCTTTCTTTCCAGGAGATAACAGTAAATCAACACCCTGTATTTATGGGCGCTTGCGGTTTGACTGGAATCTTCTCTTTGAAGACCATCATGTTGCCAAATGTGTATTTTTGGAACTCATGTACTAAGCAGATCGTGAATAATCTGTTGGAAAGAGTCTAGAGAGGACATCCCTGCGAGATTGCCTTTTTATGCCGGATAGATAATATTTATGTTTGGTAACGTTCTTCCATAAATCATTAGTCCTGCTGTTGCTTTGCTTTGGCGGTGACTTGTTTAAAGGGATAGTTCACCCAAAAATGAAAATGTGATGTTTATCTGCTTAGCCCCAGGGCATCCAAGATGTAGGTGACTTTGTTTCTTCAGTAGAACACAAATTATGATTTTTAACTTTAACCGTTGCAGTCTTATCAGTCGTATAATGCATTTTGTTTTTTACTCTCAACAAAATCTATGAGAGTAAAAAAAACATGCACAGACAAATCCAAATGGATGCCTGCACGCTCAAAGACAGTTGGACAGTTGGACAAAAAAATTATATAAATACTGTACGGTTTCTGGCACAAACCGATCGTTTCGTGTCTTAGGACATCAATGTGTCGTCACGTGCCGCAGGGTTTAATTTGGATTTGTCTGTGCATGTTTTTTTTACTCTCATAGATTTTGTTACCATTGCCATGCATTATACGACTGATAGACTGCAATGGCTGGAGTTAAAAATCATCATATGTGTTCTACTGAAGAATCAAAGTCACCTACATCTTGGATGCCCCGGGGGTAAGCAGATAAACATCACATTTTCATTTTGGGGTGAACTATCCCTTTAAGGACACACATGGATATGATGGATTGTCAACAAACACATAGGCTTTGCGTGACCGGTGTGAAGTCATGTGAGAGCGTGTTTTTTGTTAGTTGACAATTTTTGCAGAGAAGTCAACTTTGAATGACCTCAGTCATACTGCCTTAGTGTATATGGCAGTGTAGAAAGAAGCTGACTTGCCTGGGATTCGGCTCTTCCAGAAGACCTTGACCTGCAGCTGGCTGTCGTGATAATGAGGGGCGGCCGCTTCCAGCCTCAGGATACTGGGAGAGGAATGGGATACGGGAATCTCATTGGAGAACTCTCCGGAAAGGTGGACATTCCCATAGGAGGACGCTAGAATGAGAGAGAGGAGACTCATTTACAATCATTTACATTTGGCAACAGTCTTTATTATTTGAATAAACAGCTTTTCATGTACTACGTATGTGGCATGGGAGTGACCGAAAAACAGCCTGGTGACCAAATTTATGAAGCCTATTTTTAGGACCAAACTTTTACAACATATTTATTTGTGCTGCCTTTAATTTACACAGGTTAACATCAATAAAACCACTGGATTTCACTGTCATTTTAAAAATCTTTCCAAATGTTAAAATGTTTTAGGTTGAAATGTGACTGTGGTGTGTTTCAATAAGATTTACCATCATAGATTAAACAATAAAGTTCTTTACACTCTAATGCATGTACTTCATATTGTATGTTTGCTTGAAAATGTCTTACTTTATAGACTTCCTACTATAAATGTGTTTCTTATTCAGTTATTGTCTTTGGTAAAAAAAAAAAAAAAAAAAGAAAAATTTTCAACTTGAAAAC